CCAGGCTGGCTTTGAATCTTGATCCTCAGAACTCAGCCTCATGAGTAGCTAGGATTATAGACATGAGCCACCAGTGTCTGACTCTATAGAAGCTTAAAGCAGTTAATTAAATTAGAGTGGGAGTGGGGTGGCAAATACAGCCAGAAGTAAAGACCCTACATGTGGCTTGGTTTCTTTCTTTCCCCCTTCCTTCCTTCCTTCCTCCCTTCCTCTCTCTCCCTTCCTCTCTCTCCCTCTCTCTCTTTTTCTTTTTCTTTCTCTCTCTCTCTCTCTCTCTTTCTTTCTTTCTTTCTCCAGTCCTGGAGCTTGAACTCAGGGCCTGGGCACTGTCCTTGAGTCTCTCTGTGCTCAAGGCTAGCACTCTACCACTTGAACCACAGCACCACTTCTGGCCTTTTCTGTTTATGTGGTGATGAGGAATTGAACCCAGGGCTTCATGCATGCTAGGCAAGCACTCTACCACTAAGCCACATTCCCATCCCTGTGGCTTGGTTTCTTAAATGGTTTTAACCCTGGAGCTGGCTAAGTCCACAGGCAGAGGCCATACTGCAAAAGGCAGCCAGAGAAGTGATTCTCAGAAACCTAGCAGCCTTATAAACTGAGCTGCTTCCCATCTTTCCCTATCATTAACATAATTGTCTCTTTCATACTGGACCTTGAATCTAAGCCTAAGGCTTGGGAAGGCTTATCAGTCACCCAGTTTAAAAATTGAGAGTTAATCTTTAGGAGATAAGGGCCCAAATTACAGAGAATGGCCCATTTTATTTTAGGTTGGCAGAGAATGGAGATATGGTTGAGAAGTCACACTTGGCATTAGATGGCTTTCTGTCCATTGTGATTTCCCCAACTCCCCATGTGGCAGTCAGCATGCCTCTTGTATCCCACTTCTGGGCTCTGAAGGGCAGTCAAGTGCAATGGGCCAGCTGCTGCAGCCCCACCTAAAACATTTCACAAGAACAAATTATTTTCCAGCCCCACTTCCCAGAGATTCAAATAGGGAAGTCTGGGCTCTGAAATTTGAAGATGTGCAAACTGGTTTAGGAACTACTGATTTCTTGGTCACAGTGCGCTAAGTGTAAACTTATCCTTGTGCCTGCTATTTGTCTATCACTTGGCTGATGAAAAACAAAATTGATGACAGATGAGAAGACTCAGAAATTAACATTGTTGACCTCAAATCTGCTAAGCTGAGACTTAATTATTGACTAAGCAGCTGGCTTTCTCAGGTATAGCATAACATTTGTAATCCACACCTGGTAAGCTTTTTTAAAGAAGTACTCCATCTTGGGAGATTTGGTTTCATTTGGTCTGGGTTTTGACGTGGGCATTAGGACTTTTAAGAAACTTTCTACTTGATTCTAAACATAACCAGGATTGAGACCTATTAGCATAGGTAAAACTTTTTCCTATTTTACTTTTATCTTAGAAAGTCAACGTGGGATGCGTCTCAAACCTAATACTTACCCATACTTCTCAGTCCTTGGTTATTAGTCTCAGTTTCTGGCTTACAGGAACAGACAATTTCTAAAATGTTCAAGCAGGTTCTCTTTTTCTCTAACAGATGACTCCAAACTGCCTCCCCCACCAACCCTGGAGCCCACTGGGCCTGCACCTTCCTTGTCTGAGCAAGAATCTCTTCCAGATCCCCCTACTCTGAAACCCATCAGTGATAGTAAACCTCCAAGCCGATTCCTCAAACCCAGAAAGGTTGAAGAAGATGAGCTCTTGGAAAAATCACCTTTACAGCCAGGGACTGAGCCCTTGCAATGCTTGCTCAGTGACAGTGGCATCAATAGACTGTCTCTCATGTCCCCTGACACCTCTGTTGATGCATCTCTTGGTGGTGTGGGTCGCCGCACATCAGTCCTCTTCAAGAAGGCTAAGAATGGGGTTAAGCTTCAGAGAAGCCCAGATGGGACCCTGGAAAATGGGGAGGACCATGGCATGATGAGTGCCCCTGCCTCTCCTGCCAGCATTGAGGATGAACACCATTCCCGGAAACGGACAAGGAGCAGGAGCTGTAGTGACAGTGAAGGAGAGAGATCGCCCCAGCAGGAAGAAGAGACAGGTGACCCTGCCTGTGACTTCTCTTGCTACTTCTCATCTACTTTTCTGCTTTACCTTGCCAGCCAGCACCTACCCCAGTTCTCCCTAATGGCCTCTATTGAAGCCAGTAGTTGTACTGGGGGCTCCATACTTCTTCACTAGCATATGTGCTGGGTCTGGGGAAAATAGGCCTTGAGCAGGTATTTTCAGAAGGCCAGATTGTATCTAAGGGCTGTTTTCAACCTGAAAGGGATGTAAGATTGCACATGGCAAAATGGTTCCTTCATTTTATTTCATTCATCAAGTATATCAGGCCCTGTCTTGGGTACTGGGGGAAAAAAATCCCTTTGAACAGAATAGACTAAAATCTCTTTTACCTGTATATTGGTGTCTCATGCCTATAATCCTAGCTACTCAGGAGACTGAGATCTGAGGGTCGAGATTCAAAGCCAGCCTGGGCAGGAAAGTGTCATGAGATTCTTATCTCCAATTAAATAACAAAAGCCAGAAATGGAGCTGTGGCTCAAGTGTAGCTTAATGGACAGCACCAAGACCCTGAGTTTAAGCCCAGGTACTGGCACACAGACAAAAGTATCCTCTCTTACAAGGGACGTAGGCTAAAAGCAAAGGAGATATCTTGTATTAGCAACCTTGCATAAACAGGAAATAGGGAAAGGGGATAGAAAATGCAAGGAGGGTAGCTAGGAAGGTCTGAGGAGAAGGTGATATTTGAAAAAAGTAGTGAGAGCTACTTGTTTTTTTTGGGGGGGGTCCGGTTGTGGGCCTGGGCGCTGTCCCTCAGCTCTTCAGCTCAAGGCTAGCACTCTACCACTTGAGCCATAGCGCCACTTCCGGCTTTTTTCTTTTCTGCTTATGTGGTGCTGAGGAATCGAACCCAGGGCCTCATGCATGCAAGGCAAGCGCTCTACCACTGAGCCACCTTCCCAGCCCCAACGAGAGCTACTTGTATATATAAGGGAAGATGTACAAGATCATTGCTCAGGAATGGGAACATGCCTGCCTGTCCAAGGAACCTGAGAAGACCAAGTGTGGTTGCAGCAATGTGTAGGAGTGGTAGGCTAAGGGATTAAGCCAAGAGAAACTAATCATGGGAGTTGGGTCACCAAAGAGTCCTTACTGCTAGTCATAGGAGAGGGGAGTTAATAAAATAAGACTCAATTTGGGCTTAGGTACAGAGAAATCACAGAGCTGAATAATATGTGGTTAGATGTCAGGTGACAAGTAGAATTGTTAGGGCTGTTCAGGGAATTTGAGCAGGGGAGGTAGTATCAGAGCTTTCCATCCTGGGGAAGGTAGTATCTGAGCTGGCCCCTGTGGGGCAAGGGCAGGATAGAAAAAGGTAGATGGAGACAGAGGGCTCAGGCTAGGCATGCGGATACAAAAAGGCAGTCTGTGAGGGCCACTTTGGTAGGGGGCTTCCTGGAGCTTCAGGAGCTTTGAAAGTATTTGGTTTCTCTTTTCCTACATAGCATCTTTCCAACAATACCTTCCCTTTGGTCCAAACTTCCTTGTATTATGATAGCAAAAGTTTAACATAGAGAGGCAAAAGCTTACCTGGCTGGGGCTAGGCATACCTGAATTCAAACTTCAGCTTCTTATTAGAGCTACAACCTGGTAAGAATTTAACCTCACTGAGTTCGTTTCTTTGTTACCAGTATGGATCTAGAAATAGCTATCTTCCAGGATTGAGTATTGGAAATGTGCTGTATGATATCTGCATACTTAGTGCAGCAGTCGAGGGGAGCAGTTACTTTTATCTTCTTAGCTTTATCTTGGCTCAGCCAAAGAGTACTGAGAACACTGTGAAAACTGAAAGTCCTTACTAGTTTGATCTAGGTCTCGGCATTAGGCATGTTAACCTTAAGGCTATCTACTGGAGGATACAAAATCTTCCTCTCCCATCATCCCAGCTGCTCAACACCTAGGAATACTGCCATACAGCTTTGGTTGAACCACATAGAAACAAGTATTGATCTTTATAGGAGACAAACCCGAAGCACAGCTGGCTTCAGTGATCTGAATTGAGATCATTGTTAGAGGAAGGTCCAGATCAAGGTGTAGACATCTTAGCTCAGATACCTGCTCTGACAGCTGTTTCTTGACTCAAATTTCTGGCCAAGGTGTCTTTTTTTGCAGCTCTCAAATCAGGTAGGTGCCTGGCTTACCTCCACACAGTTCTTGGCTTAGATGTCAGAGCTGTAGGACTCTTGAGTGTGGTTAGAAACAAGTTGGATAGCTATAAGAGCAGAAGATTCACAGCAATGTTATGTGCCTGGGATGATATCTGTGGGGTATCCTCTGTCTCTCAAAACTTCTTCCTGTAAGCAGACTTTCTGTCGTCCATATTAATTAGCACCCTCTATAAGCAAGAAGGTATTAGCTTTACTTCCCTTTGGTGAAGCTAAGGTATAAAGAGGAAAGGAACTAGTATTTCAGAACCCATTCTATTTTTTTTTTTTTTTGGGTCCGGTCGTGGGGCCTGAACTCTGGGCCTGGGTGCTGTTCCTCAGCTCTTCAGCTTAAGGCTAGCGCTCTACCACCTGAGCCACTGTACCACTTCCGGCTTCTTTCTTTTTGATTATGTGGTGATGAAGAATCGAACCCAGGGCTTCAGGCATGCAAGGCAAGTGCTCTACCACTGAGCTACCCTTCCCAGCCCTCAGAACCCATTCTAGATGCTGGCTTCTGACTTCCCCATCCTGGGAAGGTCTGGGCTGCTGTAGTCCTGAAAAGTTTCCCTTCCTCAACTTAGATCAGCTCTGCTAGACATGAGATGTTGTGGAGCCAGCCCTTATCCTGCCCCGGCGTCTCCTGATCCCATCCCCAAAGAATGAAGCTAGTTGCTGCTAGCTCTGTGGTGGGAAGGGCATGTAAGTATTTATCTCAAGAAGCAAGGCAGATGTACTCCTCAAGAGACAGAAAAGACTCCCTGATAACTGAAATTTGAAATTAGAAGCATAATCCAAGGCCTTGTGAGTCTGCCAGGTAGGGAACTCAATATTGTTCTTTGTAGCAAAATAACAGTAGCTAGAGTCAGCTGTATGCAGTATTTTCCTTAGAGTAAGAAAACGGGAGCCGGGTGCTGGTGGCTCACGCCTGTAATCCTAGCTACTCAGGAGGCTGAGATCTGAGGATCGCGGTTCAAAGCCAGCCCGGGCAGGAGAGACCG